TTCCCCCGGAGGGCATCTCAGCGGAGGAGGCATCGCGCCGCTTCGAGGCGCGGTGCCTGCCCAGCCTCTCGCATGACGGGGGGCGCTGCGATGCCCCAGGGCCCGGCAAAGAAGACGGCCAGGGACCGCGGCCGCCCGTGGATCGGATCCCCCGACGGGGAGGACTTGCATATCACCTTTAAGCCGCCCTGGTCTGAGCATCAGCTCGGGAGGGGGCCGAGCGCGGGCTGCGCGGCGCGCGCGCGCGCCGTGTCGCGGGCGCCAGAGCTCGGAGTGCCCGTGGGATCGGGAGATTTGAGCCAGAGAATCCGCGAGTCCCTGATCGCGAAGAGAGCTGCGTCGGCGGAGACCCGGGTTCACTACTGAGGGTTTGCCAACTTCACGGAGCGCGCGCGTGCCGCCGTGGGCAGCGGCGCGGCGCCCTTGTTACTCGCGCGCGCGCAGTCTCACCTCATGGATTGTGAGAATGAGGTTGATTCTCGCCGGCGCTCTCACGCCTGCGCAGCGGCACCGCGGGTCTTGCCCCCAGCGGCTGCGGCGCGAGGTCGCCGAATAGCATGGGGGAACGCGCGCGGCGCATGAGTGCGACCTGAGGCTGCGGCGAAAAATTGCAGTCAGGCGGGAAGTAGCTTTTGCGCGTCATGTCGTTGTTGGGGTTGGTTGCATGACGATAGGCTGGAGCAGGGCGCGCTGTCCGGCGAGTCGGCGGGGGCAGCTCTGTTCATCCTCGACCGGGGGGCCCGCGGCTCCCATGCGTGGTTCGGCTCGTTTGCGCCCGCGGCGCGCGCGCGGCAGGTGCTGGCGGAATCCAGGAACAAAGTAGCAGACAAGGCCAAGGGCGTCGGCGCCGCGGCTGCGAGCGGCAGGGGCTTGTGGGCCCAGCCGGGCAAGCTTGCGAAGTTGGGCGGCGAGGGCGGGGGGGCTGGCCCGCGCCGCCCCCAGACGCCGCCGCGCCGGAGTCGTTGCCCAGCGAAGCCGGCCAACAATGGCAAGGGAGGGGCGCAGTGGGCAGGCCGGGCCGAAGCCGGCCAGTGGCGCGACTCTCACTGGACCGGCCAATGGAGTGGCCGCCGCGGCGCGCGCGGGCGACGGCGGGCTCTGCCGCCCGCGCTCCTGCCATTTCCCGCGGCGCTGGCGCGCGCGTCCGCGCAGGGCGATTGCGGCGGCGAGAGCGGCGACGATTCGCCGCGGGGGCCGTCAGGGGGCTCGGATTGCCAGAGCGCGTCGGACGGCGATTGCACCGACTACAATGAGAACTGGGCGCGGGCAAATGTCCGCGGGGATGCATGGACATATTGCAGTGGAATTGGCTGCATCAGCGCCGCGGCACCTCCGCCCACCCCCCTTCCCGTTCGCATCCGCATCGGGCCTGGGCGCGCGCCGCGTCCGCAGTTTTCGGAGGTGGAGGCTCTGAACGCATAGCCCGGGCAGATGCCCCCCCTGGCTCACCTGGCGCGGGCGAAAGCGCTGCCGTCGAGCGCGAAGAAGCCAGGGCAGCTCCCGCGAGGCAGCGGATGAGCGCGATCGCGCGAGCGAAAGAGAGGTACCGCTGCGGCGCGAGGTCGCCCGGCGTTTCTGGGAGCGCCGCAAAAGAATGATGGGCGCAGATTGGCAGGCGCTACCTCCCCGACGCGGGCCCCCCAGGGAGACAAGCAGCCGGGCGACGCCTGAGGCCCAGACCGCTCGCGCACGAGCGGGGGCGAGTGGGCCAGGGAGCGATCGTTCGAGACGTCGTTCGGCTCCCGAGGAGGGGGGGGCGAAGAGTCGGAGGAGGACCCCGCAGGAGCAGGAGGCTATCGGGGGCGATCGCTGTCACGAGACGCTGGGCGTCGGAGGCGATGACGGCTGCGGCAGAGGAGGAGAAGGCAGCGGAGGCCGAGGAGGCATGCGCCTACGCGGGCACCTACGCCAGCTCCTGCACCGGCACCTGCGCCACCTCCGGCGCTCATGCCTACGCCGGCCCCGATGCCAAGGCGGAGGAGGACGAGGAAGAGGAGGGGGGGGCGGAGCGCGCCCGCGCCGGCGCCATTGCCGGCGCCTCTGCCAGCGCCAGCACCGACGCTGGCTGGTCGGCACCTCCGGCGCCGGCGCTGATGCCAGGGCTATAGCCCCTGTTCCAGCCCCGCCGAGGCGGGCGAAGGCGTGGGCGCCTGTGGCGGCCTCGCCGTCGGCACGCGCGCCAGCGTCTATGCGCTGGCATCGCCCTCGGCGGTCGCGCGCCCGCCATCGCCTGCGCAGGGCCACCCCTCGTCCTGGGGGAGGGATCGCTGCTGCCGGCGCCGCCGTGAAGCCTAGCTGCGAGGTCCCAGCGGCGACGGCTACACCGACGCCTCCCTTGACGGGCGCTTGCGGCACCCCCGGGAAGGCAGCCGCCGCGGCCGACGTCGCCGCCGGGCCCCGCCTTCGGGGCGCGCGCCGGGCGACGTCTGCGCGCTGGCATTTGGCGGCTCACATAGGGGGCCTCTCGGCGATAGCCGCTTGAGCGCGCTCTTCGAGCAGAGGCGCCAGCGTTCGCCCCGCCCGCCATGCTCGCGCCGTCGACCCCCGACCTGCTCGCTGAATCGCAGCGTTTTTCGGCGAACAGCTCGCCGGGTGCTGACATTTGACAGAGGACATGAACGACGCGATTGCGCAAAGGCAAGCACGCGCAGTTCCCCCCCATCGGTCCTCGGCGGGCGACGCCGGCGGCCGCCGCGCCGAGGCTCCCGAGGGGCGCTATCAATGATGGGGTGGGCGACGGAGCCTCGTCGGACGCTTCTTCGCGCGACTCTTTGTCTGCTGCGGCGCTGGGCGAGACCGCTTTTTCCACACTGAGGCGGTTGGGCGAGGTGGCGGGCATCATTGACGTAAAGATTTCATCCTCTGTCTCTTCTGCTGTTTCAGAGCTCGGGCGTGGGCTTGCCAGCGCGCGCGGTGGCCCAGGCCAATCTGCCGGTCATCGCGGAGACGGCGCTTCAGAGCCCGCTGAAACTTTTGCTTCTCACTGCGGAAAAAAATGCGATGATTATGGGCCTGGCTTCAATTGGGGAAAAGCGGTTGGAAGGGGATATTCAGGGCACCCATGAGAGCTTGCCCCAGCAGCTCTCCGCTGTCCAGGAGTTGGCTAGCTGCCTGCGCGCAGAAGTCAGCACGCTTTCCGCTCGCATCGGGGTAGTAGAAGCGGCTCGGCGCGCAGCTGGCAGCGCGGCGGGTGGTTTTGCCACTGGCGTTGCGCGGTCAGCGCCCTCACGCTCACCTGGTCCGCCCACGACGCGCGGGTTCGGCGACGGACAGGGCTGCCCCTTGATCTACCTCCAGGGCCGCGACATCGACGGCCTGCCACTTAGCTGATGTGTGTTCGACGAGATCGCTGCTGAGGCTGAGGTTTTCGAGTGCCTGGAGGTGCTCGGCTCGCTGGGCCACCACGGCCCGCCTCCTGAGCCACCGACCGATTGACTAGCTAGATTTTTTGGTAAGCTTCCAGATGGTACTGTTTGAGTGTATTTTGGCTGGTCTGTACAGCGATGGTGCCATAGATCTTGCTTTTTGATCACATTCCTTCTCTGCCTGTTGTTCCCCATCCTGCATTATTCTTCGTGGTCCGCGGAATGTCGTTGCCTGGCGAGCTGGGTGCAATTCGGTTTTTGCACCAGGGTTGCCCCGCGTCAATCCCCGAAGGGCGACGCTGGCACCACTGGGCCCCCGGGCTGTTTTGTCGCAGCTGGGCTTCCAGGCGGCGCCGACGGCTCGTCTGCCTCGCGGTGTGCGGGTCCGCGCGGGGCGCAGCGTCTCCGAGATCGAACATGCACCATGCGTTGTGCTATGCCTCCTCCTCCTCATTTTTTTTCTCCTCCTCCTCTTCCTCCTCCCTCCTCTTGCTCCTCCTCCTCCTCCTCCTCCTCTTCAATTTCTTTTCCTTCTGCATAACTTCTCCCTGTCGCGCCCCGAGGCGAGTGTTTGGGGCGGGCCGGGCGTTTCGCCGGGGACCCTTTCGCCATTGATTCCGAAGCTTAAAAATTGGCAACGGTTTCGCGCGTGGAAGGCTGGAGGTTTTCAAAATGTTGCTCTCGCCGTAGCGCCGCGCACATTCGTTCTGACAATTTGCAAGAGCTTCGCGGATTGAGGATCACCCGTTTTCAAAATGTGGCCTTTGCCGTAGCGCCGCGCACACTCGTTCTAAACATGTGTCAGATTCACGGACTGAGGATAACCCGTTGTCAAAATGTCGTTCTCGCCTTAGCGCCGCGCGCATTCGGTTTGAAACAATAGCCTCGCGGATTGAGGACGGTTCCTTTTCAAAATGTGGTTTTCTTTTTGGCGCCGCGCACACTCGTTCATAAAATGAGTGCTGGTTTCACAGAGTCCAGCGATCTACGTACCAGAAATGGCGTTTTGGAAGGAATTTGGATTTCGCCGGTGCAACAGCTGCGTTGATTTGCGGTGATGAAGTCACAACAAATGGCGTTCTGGCACGATCCAGGATCGCCAAGACGCAACAATCAGGTTGATCCGTAGCGTTGGAATCCCGAGAACCATGTTTTGGTATGCTTCCGGGTCTTCAAACGATTGTTTTCCAAGGAGGCATATCCCTCGATCGAAATTAAGCGTTGTAGGGGCCGATGAAGAGGAGCTGGAAGGGAGGCCGTATTCCAACGTCATTGTTGCCTCTTGGGTTTGCACGGGTCCCCGTCCTCCTTCTCGTGTTCCCTTTCCCCTCCCGTTTCCGTCCTCCGTTTTCTCCGTCTCCTCTTCCTCCTTCTCCCACATTTCTTCGTTCATCATCCTCCTACTCGCCTCGTCCTCCTCCTCCTCCTCCTCCTCCTCCTTCTCCTCCTCCTCCCCTTCATCCTCCGTGAGTTCTACGAGTCATGCGCGCTCCTCCTCATTTTTTTCTCGTGCCTCTCATCCCGCATCCTTCTCCTCCTCTTCCTCCTCCTCCACCTCCTCTTCCTCTTCCTTGCCTTTTTCCCCTTCCTCCTCCTCCGCCTCCTCCTCCTCCTCCCGCCCGGGCCCGCGCACAGGCGAAGCTGGCTGAGGCGGGCGCGTCGGAGAAGATGAACCAGCTGCTCGCATGGGCGAAGGAGGCGCCCCCTGCCCCGCCCAGGCAAGAAGCCACTCGGGGCCATGGTTCGGGCGTTGCCAGAGGTGGCCCTGGCTCAAGGTGCCCCCAGCTTTTCGCATCATGTTCGACCCCTTTGGGGCCTCTGGCCTCTGGGCCGCGTGAGGGGTGCTCGGGAGGCCGCGGGGGCCGCTCTGGTGACTTCGGGGGACTCTGGACCAGGGACTCATTTGGCAGCACCCGAAGACCGCATTCTGGAGTTTCACTTTTCATCGTCCTCCTCCGGCGCCTAGTCCACCTCCACTTTCCCTTCCCCTTCGGTTCTTTCGACGCATGATTTCACCAGCCTCCTTCCTGCTCCTCGTCGTTATCTTCTCCAACTCTTGCGTAGACCTGTCACGCTGCCACGCCATGGTTCCTCCTGTTGTCTTCCTCCTCCTCATCCTCTTGTCCTCCTCCTCCTCCGTCCTTTCTCCTCATAGATAAGCCCTCCCTGTCGCACTCCGAAGCCGGTCGAAAGGGCGGGGCGTTCCGCTTGAAATTTCCTCAACAATTATAATCCTGAGTCTTCACCTTGCAAGTTTTCCAGGGATGGAGGGTGGAGGGCAGGCCGATTTCAAAATGTGATTCCCGCTTCAGCGCCGCGCGCATTCGTTTTAGAAGTTTGCATGAGTGCCACGAATGGAAGACTGCTCGTTTTCAGAATGTTGTTCTCGCCTTAGCGTTGTGCGCAATCGGAGTAAAAGTTGGCAAACGCTTCGCGGATGGAGGGCGGTTCCTTTTCAAAATATGGTTCCCGCCTCAGCGCCAGGCCGCAACAGTCACGTTGATTCGCGATTTTGATACCCCAGGAATTGTATTTTTCCCCACATGCTTCGTGGGGTTATGGTTTTCTTCCCTTCCGCGTCTCACCCGCGTCTCCTCCTCCTTCTCCTCCCTCTCCTTCTCTTCCCTGCCGCGCCGCACCCGCGCTCATTCACCTCACTCAGCTCAGCTCAGCACAGCACACAGATCGTGGCAGGGGTGGCACTTTCTCGACACCACAGGGGGTGCGCAGAGGGTGGTCCCTCAGCGCGGCCTCTATCCGTGACACGTTCGCAGATCGTGGCAGGAGTGGCACTTTCTCGACGCCACAAGGGGCGCGGCCTCTATCCGTGACACGCTCGCAGATCGTGGCAGGAGTGGCACTTTCTCGACGCCACAAGAGGTGCGCAGAGGGTGGTCCCTCAGCGCGGCCTCTATCCGTGACACGCTCGCAGATCGTGGCAGGAGTGGCACTTTCTCGACGCCACAAGGGGTGCGCACAGGGTGGTCCCTCAGCGCGGCCTCTATCCGTGACACGCTCGCAGATCGTGGCAGGAGTGGCACTTTCTCGACACCACAGGGGGTGCGCAGAGGGTGGTCCCTCAGCGCGGCCTCTATCCGTGACACGCTCGCAGATCGTGGCAGGAGTGGCACTTTCTCGACACCACAGGGGGTGCGCAGAGGGTGGTCCCTCAGCGCGGCCTCTATCCGTGACACGCTCGCAGATCGTGGCAGGAGTGGCACTTTCTCGACACCACGGGGGGTGCGCGAGGGTGGTCCCTCAGCGCGGCTCTATCCGTGACACGCTCGCAAATCGTTGCAGGAGTGGCAGTTTCTCGACACCACGAGGGGTGCGCAGAGGGTGGTCCCTCAGCGCGGCCTCTATCCGTGACACGCTCGCATATGTGGCAGGAGTGGCACTTTCTCGACGCCACAGGGGGTGCGCAGAGGGTGGTCCCTCAGCGCGGCCTCTATCCGTGACACGCTCGCAGATCGTGGCAGGAGTGGCACTTTCTCGACACCACAGGGGGTGCGCAGAGGGTGGTCCCTCAGCGCGGCCTCTATCCGTGACACGCTCGCAGATCGTGGCAGGAGTGGCACTTTCTCGTGTGACACGCTCGCACGTGGCAGGAGTGGCACTTTCTCGACACCACAGGGGGTGCGCAGAGGGTGGTCCCTCAGCGCGGCCTCTATCCGTGACACGCTCGCAGATCGTGGCAGGAGTGGCACTTTCTCGACACCACAGGGGGTGCGCAGAGGGTGGTCCCTCAGCGCGGCCTCTATCCGTGACACGCTCGCAGATCGTGGCAGGAGTGGCACTTTCTCGACGCCACAGGGGGTGCGCAGAGGGTGGTCCCTCAGCGCGGCCTCTATCCGTGACACGCTCGCAGATCGTGGCAGGAGTGGCACTTTCTCGACACCACAATGTGGAGACTCTCCTGTTTTTTCGATATAGGTTTAGCATAATGTTCTTTCCCGTGAAGCCCAACATTCCAGCTCACGGGAGGCCAGGATTGTTAGTAAATGTTTCAGGGAAGGATGTACTGTGGTTGCCGCTTTCTGGCTCAAGGCCAAAATGCATCCATTCATCCTGCTGCTGCCACAGTTGGTAGCGGAGCAGTGTTCGGCGCGGCATGCATGGGCGCCTCCAGGCACCGCTGATCAGCGGTGGTGCCGGGGGCAGCTCGGGCGGCCGCGCGGGCGCTGCTCTCACCGGACTGGACAGAGCGCGGATCCACGGCAGGCATTGATGCCAGGGCCGGACGACACCGGCCCAGGAGACGACAAGAACGAGACGCACGCTGTCATCGGCGGAGGGCGCTCAGCCCAGTCAGAGGGGACTGGGGAGGGGAGGGCGCCCCCGCCACCCGTCGGAGGCGCTGCGAGCTCGAGCCCACAGGTCACGGAGCAGCTGAAGCAGCTGATCCAGCAGGCGGTGAAGGACGCCGTGAAGAACCTCAGCTCAGGGCTCGGCAGCAGCGCAGCCGGCGCGGACGACAACTACGGCGGCACCAGGAGCGGCCGGCAGGAGAGCTCGAGGGGCCAAGATCCCTGGAGCGACGGCCGCGATCCATGGAAGAGTGGACAGCCGGACCCTGACGAGAACAAGTGGGGCCCCGGGGGCCGACAGCAGCAGGGCACCAAGCGGAGCGGCGTCAGGGGCTCCGACTGGAAGGACGACGACAAGGGCGGCTGGAGGAGCCACAACTGGAACGAGGGCGGCTGGTCAAAAGGTGACTACTCAGACCCGCCCACCTGGCCGGGATGGGGCCACTACCGCCTGTGGAAGAAGGCGATCCACCGGTGGTATCTCAACACTGACGTGCAGCTGTTGAGACGGTCGGAACGTTTCTTGAAGCTGTTCGACTGGACGACGCAGGCGAAGTTCGAGGACATCAGCGAGAACGTTCTGTGAGGGCCCCGCTGGCTGGACACCCTCCTCGAGAGAATGGGCCTCATGAGCGGCCAGCGAGAGGGCGACGACATGCGCAGGGCAGGTTGCAGGGCACTGTTCGAGTGCCCGAAGGGTTCGAAGGAGAGCCTCACGCAGTTCGTGGCGAGGCGCGATCAGCAGATGACCGACGCCGAGAGCCACGACATAAGGATGTCAGACAAGATGAAGGGTCTCATGCTCGAGGAGGGTGCGGGACTGAGCGCGCGAGGTCAACAGAACTTGCGCGCCCTCACCAAGGGCAGCCTGGACTACAGGGGCGCGGCCTGGGCTCTCAGGCAGCTCGACTACGGTAGCGGCGAGAAGCTACTGCCTGGCAGCAGTGCCTCGCATGCAGTCTTGGCCGCAGAAGTCGGCGAGGGCGGGCGAGGCCCCAGCTCTTTTCCTCTTCCCCATCCGTCCTCCCAGGCTTTCCAGGTCTCGGGCCCCGGGACCGCTCGACAGGACGAAGATGCGCACCGCGACGAGTCGGGAGAGGATCCAGACGAAGATGAAGAGCTGTCAGAGACGGACCTCACGGCCATTTTGGCGGAGATTGAGGATCTGGATCTCGACGAGGACGACGCCGCCAAGGCCTTCGCGCAGATGACCGGCAAGGTGCAGCGCAGGTCCTGGAAGCAGAACAAGGACCTGAAGCGCGCGGCGAAGCAGGGCCGCGAGTTCTACGGTGCACGACCTCGCCGGGGCGACGACGACGGACGTCGCGGCGGTGGCCGCGGCGGCGCTGGCAGCCGAGGCCGCGGGCGCGGTCGAGGCCGAGGAGACAAGCAAAAGGATGCCGGCACTACGAGTCAGAGGATCCTCAGGCTCATGAAGGCCAACCGCTGCAAGAATTGCAACGAGAAGGGCCACTGGCCCCGGGGGCCGCGGGGGCGTCCCCAGCCGCGGAAGGAGGACGGCGGCGAGGGACCTGATCGGTCAAAGCGAGGCTTGGCCGGGCACACGCTCGACGGCCGCAGCTATCCGATCATGAACAACGACGAGCTCGAGAAGCTGAAGGGCACTGGGAAGGAGGCGCAGGCCATCGAGGTCTACCTCAGCGCCTCCGCGACGCATGGCCTCGTGGACCCAGGGGCCGGCAGCGACATAGTGGGACTGCCATCACTGAACCGAGAGGCCGAGGCGCTGGCTCGCCATGGTCTCCGTTATGCAGTAGTACCAGGAGAGTTCAAGGCGCCCAAGAAGGCGCTCGGCATCGGAGGCGAGGCAAAGGTGATCTGTACCATTATGTATCCGATGTGTCTCGGCGGAGTGATGGGGGTCGTGGAGACCGCCGTGCTGGACGAAGACGTTCCGCGCATACTGAGCGTCAACCTGCTGGATTTCCGAGGTTGCGTGCTCGATCTCCCTCGTAATCTTCTGATTTCGCAGTTTCTAGCTCAGGGCATTCCCGTCACCAGGCTGGGCTCAGGTCACCGCGTGGCCGACATCGTGCGGGAGACCAGGGGGGGGGCCACACTACCCCAGACAGTGCGCTTCGGAAGTGTCCTTTTCTGACAGCGTCTTCCTTTGTACTGGCCGCTGGGCAATCACCGCCTGCGATGAGCGCCGGCGGGGAGATGAACGCTTACAGGGTTGTCCTCTACTTCCCCCCCCTCGGCCTCAATAGATTGAACGCAGTGCCATGCCCCAGGGTCGAGCCTGGGGGCGACAATCATCGATCGAGCTCGAGTTTAGCGACCAGCGCCAGCCACGAGCTCAGCGGAGCGGCCTGGCGACG